GCAACCAGAAGCATTTCTAAATATGCATTTCTGGTAAATAGCCTAAAGCTATCTCAGAATAATGGATCTAGATTTCCATGGATGTAATCATTTATTAAGATTTCTTTTCTCATTCTAAATAAAAATTTGTTTTTCTACCTAATTTTGTATTTGTAACTTTGTATTCTTTTTAAAAAGGGGCCTTCCAAACTGTGTAAGCTTCAGGCCTGTACCCCTGGATTCACCCTGCTTGTTTTGTGTTGGATGACTTCTTGTGTTGGATGATTAGAAAAAGTTAAGAACCATTTCTATAAAAGTTGACCGCATAGGTTGAGGTTAAGATATGATATTGGTTGATATTCTGAAAAGAATACTTTAAAATTTTAAAATTAACCACCCGCTTTCATTTCAGTACGTTGCATTTTTCAACCATTTACTGTAGTTAGACAAGCAAATGTAAGAAAGTCTTCTCCATGTGGCCTACTCTTTCCGCGACTCTCTTTCTAGCCTACTCCTCTCTAGAACTCTGCCACTGCCTAGCCTACTCGTGGATGATATCTAACAATTACTTGTCTTTACCCCTTAGTACTTTGAGTTTGGCTACTTTCATATTCAGTTTACATTCACATTTGTAGTCCCTTTATTTCCTTATATTATTAGTGAATATATACTTGGTGCCCTCTTCCAGAAACTTTTTAAAGAGTATAAACTTCAACTTATTATTTTTCCTTTTCCCCCACAAGATTGCAAATACATGTCTTTGTGTAAGGTGCCAGGCTTGTTTGGAAAAATAAAAATGCAAGATTCACTTCTTACTGAATTACTTACACAGTCTTGTAGTCTAGGTAGGAAGATGTGACAGAAACTCTAAATGATGATATAAATCAAGAGGGATGGGAAGCAAAACAAAGTGTGCTGAGTTTTCAGACAGTCCAGTGAGGAGAACATGATGCCAAATCTCAAGAGACCATAGGAAATGCAGAGGATATTGACTTAATAGAACAAGTATAGATGATGGAAGGTAGGAGAACATAACCAATGATGCAAAACAATAAAAGAAAAAGACGAAAGATACAACTGGTAACAGTAGTATAAGAATTATGTTAGAACTAGGCCAAAATGAGATGAGGCTTTCGAAAAATTTAACTGGAGAAAAGGGGCCAATTTCTTTACATTTAAAAGAAAAAATTCTCTTGGGAGAAAAATAATGTATTAAAATAAAATAAATTACCTTTATTTTTATTAAACACTGTAATGTGTAGAAGTAGTAGCAACTGAAATAGGTGACCTGCCACTCTCCTATCAGGAGATGGAATCTGTGCTGGTCTCCGTAAATCTGGGTGAGATATTTATCAGTAAATGATAGTTCTTAATATTGACCTCTTTAAAGGTGTTCAGGACCATAAAGCGAAATATATATCATCTAGGATAATCAGGGAACTTACAGATGTAATCATCCTCATCACCACTAGTCATCTTTGAGAAGTTATGGAATGCAGGAATGGTGCCCCCAAATTAGAGATAGGTAAATATTCTTTTTTTGAAATAATGAACAAAAAGGAAGTTCTGTAAAGTACAAACCAGTAGGCTTAATTTCAATCTCCAGCAAAGCCAGAAAGTGAATTATTTAGTATTTTGTTTATAAATACTTTGAAAAGAAAGGTGAATGATAGAAACTGACATGTTTTATAAGAATAATAGAAAGTTTAGGATTTTTTTATGGTAAATCAGAAATATAACAATGAACATGTTTGAGCCAGGCTTTTGAAAGCATCACATATTTTTGCAGAAAAATTATTTTTGAAATATTAATATGTTATAGTTGTTGAGACATTCAGCTTATATGCGTGTGTGTATGTATGTATATACCTACATATATAGGTAGTCTCTTCAATGCAGAAATTCAGCATGGTAATGGAGAGACATAATTGTACTATTCAACAGTTTTACTGAATACTAAGTATGCTAATTAATTTTTCACATTTGTACTCTGGATAGGTTTCATTTAGTTTCAGTTGGGTGCCTGTATCAGTCATTGCCCTGATTAAAAAAAAAAAAAAAAATTCTCTCCAATGGTTTAAATGAGTTTAATGCAGGGACTATTTACAGAATTATGGGCGGAGTTAAGAAACAAAAAGGATACTGAGGCACTTAGAGACTTGTAGTAGCAAAAAGCCATTAGCATTCCTTGCTGTAAGGAGGCAAGGAATGGAAACAGTGTTGCTGGAATCCAGTGGGAGCTGGAGCTGTGGAAATGGGGCCACTTTCACAGGAACTGCATTTACAGAGAGATGTAGCTACTGCCAGAAATGTGGTGCCAAAGCTGGGAAGGAGGAGGGAGTATGTTTCCTGAACTCCTCTCCTCTTGTCCTTGGATCTCCTGCTTGTTACCCTCACTGGCTGAGCTGCTAAGGTGATATCCATAGCAGTCAGCCTCCTAGGGCACAAAGAATAGATGGGTGGGTGCTGGGCTATGGTAGGGTGGAAATAAAGAAGGACCAACTGAGTACATAGTGCAAAAGTGTGGAGAACAGCTTTGGATAAAGGTGGCCACATCAGCGATGCCCATTATATATGCTCTTCTGTAATGTGACCTGCCACTCTCCTATCAGGAGATGGAATCTGCTGGTCTCCTTAAATCTGGGTGGGATTGTGACTGCTTTGACCAGTACGGTGTGGCGGAAGTAATGCTGTGATGCTGTGCAGCTTCCACGGTTGGATCATACGAAGAAATGCAGCTTCCACTTTGTCCAGTGGGACATTGTGCTTTTTGGAGTGCTATGTAAAAAATGCAACCTAAGGCCTCTATGCTGTAAGAGATTCCGGGTTACATTGAGCCCACATGCAAATGCTCTGGTCAGCAGCCCCAGCTGAAGTCCCAGGCATCATCCAGCATATAGTGGCAGGCTTGTGAATGAGGATGCATATATAATTTCAGCCTGCAGTATCAAGGTGCCCTTAGCCAGAACTTAACTATTGGTTATTGTAAATAGAAATACAACCAAGATGTAAGCTTAGTGGTTAGAAATGGAGAATCTGTATTAAAATCCTGGCTACACTGCTTACTAGCTTTGTTATCTTGGGCAAGTTACTTAAAGTCAATACCTCAGATTTTTCATCTGTAAAATGAGGATAAGTTATAAATATTAGGACTAAATGTTTTACTATATGTGTTCTCCTTTCCCTAAGGCCTACATCCTGATCCTGGCTCAGTGGATCTTACCGTTTTAATGGTTAAAAAAAAAAGGAGAAACCAATAAAACAAAGAAAATAGGACTGATCTAGGACTATTTATATTCCTCCCACTAGAAATTCCACTCTCTTACATCATAGCCCTCTTATATGATGTGTTCTTTTATATTCCTCCGGGAGAGGAAGCGTAGGTAAGTGAAGTAGAAAGAAGATGAAAAATCCTCAAGTTCTCTTTTTGAGTTATCCTATGTGATGAACAATAAGATTAAAACAAATAAGGGACTTCAAAATAAGTTTGGGGAGACCTCATATAGGACCATTTTATGTGCAAATATTCCTAGTGATTTTCAGTGATTGAAAGATCAGTATGCACAAACGACAAACTGAACCTAAATAAACACCATATTTTCAAAGTCATGTGAAG